TGCCTTCTTCTCCATCTTACTTTTCCCCCCATTTTGACTTGTCTACAGTTAAAAATAACTCGGGGGCTGCCTCCCCCGGTTTGAAGTGATCACGTCCTAGAAGGCAGTGCAGAGGCACTTCTCTGTAACACCTGTCAGGACCCAACAGTATTCTAGAATCTCAGTCTGTGCCTTTCAGCAGCATCCCTTTCTCCTCCTTACTTCCACTTGCTGCATCGGCCGTGCCCTTTCCGTTTCCTTTCTGTTGGTGGAAGCCATACTTCAGGCTGTTTTATCTTAGAAGATTCACGTAAAGTTTCTGTCTGTTGGGAAATTACCTCAAGCTCTCCATTTCTTTCACAGGTACACGTTCACAGGGATTTATACGTTTGAATCACTAGTGAAAATCATTGCAAGAGGTTTCTGCATAGATGGCTTTACCTTTTTACGGGATCCGTGGAACTGGTTAGACTTCAGCGTCATCATGATGGCGTAAGTTCTCTGCTCACTTTTGTTGGTGTTCTGGATGCAGCGATGGGCGGTTGTACTCCTGGGTGTTAGTGTGACAGTGAAAGTGTGAGTGTAAGCACAGTTGCACGAGGGACTGGTGGGTAACCATGTAAGGCCGTATGGGTTTATGACTGATTCTTGCTTGTGAGAGCCTTTTGTTCAGGTGGTGATGGCGGGGTTCTGTGGGAGGAGGTAAGGAGAGGCCTTACAGCTGGGGAGGAAGTAGGAGGTGATTTCTCAATGACTCTCTCATATTTCCTGCCTCCTCATAGCATTGACCAAGGTTTGCACATTTATCACAAGGGGGCCTCAGTGAAGACTTGGAATTTCACAGGCGTATACCTTAAACTGAAAATCATTTTCTTGTAATTTTATGAGGCTGGCCAGCTGTTGCAGACTTCAGAGCACATTTTAGAATCAAAACATGAGTGAAGGTCTCCAAACTGATTACTTCTAAAGAATTACTGGCCAGTACTTCAAACTATTGCTAGAGAGCCGTGTAATTCCACATTGGTATACTAGTTGCTCTTGGTAATTTCTGTTGTTGTAACAGTGAAAGTGGATCTCTGGGAAACTAAACTAATGACAGACAAGTTGTAGCAGACTTTATTATGTTTATTTCCAGGCTGGGAGAGCACTCGGAGGTTCGGTAGGGGTAAGGGTGTTGTATAGACTGTATGTGGGTTTAGGTGTGTGCATGCAGGTGTGTAAGAGGTTGAGTGTGCGTATGGGTCTGAGCATCAGAGAGAATGATGTATTTGAACTACAAAATGTGAGTGAATGATGTGCATTGAATATTTGGAACTGGAACTTTGACTTTCTGTTATATTAAGGCAATTTCTAGCTTTCCAGCATTAAGAAAATGAACATATTGGTGTTCATTTGAAATTTAAGTGTCCTTGCTTGGCACAGAGCTGGTGATAAATGGGCATTTAGCGTCATATTTGCTCTGATGATTTGGATTTTCCTGAGCCCCACTTTTGTGTGTCACAGGCTAATGCTTCATCCGTAGGCGTGACTGCAAAGATACATATGCATACGGCTTTTGGCTAAGTCATGTGTACAGGCATTTAAACATTTTTGCCTTTGTCGCTGAGGAGTTATTTTAATGGATATTTGTTTTTATGGGGCTCCTGCTACAAAAACTTGTCTCCTTTTTCTAAGAAATTGTTCACAAAACTTGGGGACATAAGCCTCTGATACCTCCCAGCCTTCCTTTTTATTAAAAAAAGTGAACAGCCCGAGAGCGGTCGTTCTGATTCTGACCTGCACATCACAATGCTGATTGAGAGTAAGCCCCAGGAATCTCCTGGTTGTATCAGTTCTTTCAAATATGCTTTTAAATTCTTCTTGCCCAGGTTTTAACTGTGTGTTTCTTAAATGTTTATATTTTGAAACTTTTCTTTTTTCAAGGAAAAAATGAAATCATAGCTTGTGTATAAGACCCTTTCTTCCCCCCATTCTCAAACCCTCGCCCAACGGCACCATTACAAGTTAACTTTGGTTTGATTCTGCAGGTATATAACAGAGTTTGTAAACCTAGGCAATGTTTCAGCTCTGCGCACTTTCAGGGTACTGAGGGCTTTGAAAACTATTTCGGTAATCCCAGGTAAGATGGCCCGGGTTTGGTGTTAGGTGTTGGGTTAGGGCCTTGACGTGACGTATTGTACTTTTTGTTTTGTTGTGGTTTTGTTTTTTTCCTTTGGTGTTTGTGTTTGTGTTTGTGTCTGTGTTTGTCATTTGTGTCTGTGTGTGACCTCCCTTACTACAGATATGTGACAGAGTTTGTGGACCTGGGCAATGTCTCAGCGCTGAGAACATTCAGGGTTCTCCGAGCTTTGAAAACTATCTCTGTAATTCCAGGTGAGAAAATTTAAACATGACTGACTGCCTCATCTTCTCTCCCCTTCCTTTCATTTTGTCCACCACATCCTAAAGCCGTGTCAGCACAGATGATGTGGCCTTGCATTGCGCATGTTTTTACTGGGAGCCCTTCTCTGGGAGGGCCCTTTGGTCCTCAGGCACTTTCTCCGGCGGTGCTTGCCAGGCATGCAGCCCCCATTCCATCCATGCTTTTGAAAAAGCACGCGCTTAAGAATCACTTGGATCTTACAGTATCTGAAAAAGTTGTCACAGAGCTAAGCTGTGTGTCTCTGAATATAAGTCATTTGCTTTCTGGCCTCATGGAATTACAGTAATATTAACATTTGCCATCATTCCATTGCTTGTGATTTCTAGGCTTCCTATTGCATGGTTTACTGATGGAATGTTACTCGAAGAATTGTACTTTTATTGTTACTGTGTTAATGGAATTATTTAATCACATAAGAAACCTACCCGGTTAACTAGTCAGTATTACAGACAAGTTTAAGAGCTTTTGAGTTTGGTAACTGAACCTGAAAGTTACTGTTTATTGGTAATTATTCTATTGCTGTCTGTTTCACTAATAAGAACCAGTAGACATCTACTGTCTATATATTCAGAGACCATTCTCAAACATAACTCCCAATGAAAGCTTATGCAGGTGCTGTTTTAAAAAAAATCGAAGGTAAGATAAAATTCACCTGAAGGTATGGGCAAACAAAAAGCAGAGATTTGAGAAGGGGAAAGAAAGGAATCAGTGGGTGGTTGGAAGGTAGTTGATTGACAATCTCTTTAAAATGTTTTCCTTTTTCTTTTTTGGTCCTGGTTGACCTAGCCCAGGTAGTTCTTAACCTTTTGAAGGCTTTGGATCCTTTTGAGAATCGGATCAAAGTTTACAGACCCCCCTGAAGCCCACCTGTGGACCCCAGGTTAAGATCCCTTAATTTAGTTTAAATCCTTACTACCTAGTAATACTGAACTATATTTTTAAAGACCAGTTTGTTACCTGGTAATACTGAACTGTCTTTTTAAAGACCAGTCTTGATGTCTAGTAGGAAACATATTTTCATTAGTCTTGGCCCAGGACACACTGGCAGCAACATGGCAGAAGCCGAGACTGTGTCGTTGCTGATTGGACTTTGGTTGTGTTCGGAGGTTTTCACGGAACAGACCAGACTTCCCACTGCACGTTTTAAAAGCACGGACGTGAAGAACAGAGGCATCCTGTTCCTGGTAGCACATGGTTCTTCCGCCTGTGGCTGACTCAGAAGCATTTCTCTTTCCCCCTTTTTAACATTATCTAAATAGGAGGTATCAGAAGGAAACAGAAATGTTGACTGCTAGAGAGGACAGACTTAGAATATGGCTTAACAAGAACCCCAAGGAAGATAAACCCCAATTTCTCCATTTATAGATTTGGGCTTTGAATTTGTCTAGTAATGAGCCCTCCTAAAAATGAATTCCTTTATTTTAAGCAATGGCAGCTTGCTCTTTTTCAACCAGAGTTTGGGTATCAGTTAGAGTATGTCCTTCTTGGCAAAAAACTACAAGCCTGACTTATCAAAGTTTAGTTCCTAGTCACTTTAAGCCCATTGGACAGAAAGCCCAGCGCATGCTCCAGGCAGCCTCACACAGCTCACTCACTCCTTAGGCGGGGGCCTTGTCTTATTTTTTAAGCATCTGGAGCACCAAGTCTTTACTTTTATTTCTCCTTTGGTCCCTTTCCTCCTCTGGCCTCCTTTTAAATGTGATGCTGTGTTTTCTGCTCACTTCCCCCAGCGTACTCCCCATGGCATCTGTCTCTTTATGTTCTTGTGGTCTCAAAACTTCTCTTCTAGAGTTAAATTGGAAAGCTGTGTTCTGTTCACTAACTAGGGCAGCAGCTGCTATCTCTGGTCTAGCTTTTAGCTGCTGTCTCTGTGCTATATGGTTAACTTCTGACGACAGCATTCCTGCAAGATAGCTCTTGACTGATGTCACTTTGTTCATCCTTAATACTCCGGTGCTTGCCACACACAGGTCCTGGCCCATCGCGTACTCCACACGTGATTGTAGTCGTTGCAGTTATTATTATGAAGAAGAAGCCTAAACCCAAAGAAAGGGATTGTATCAAGATTTAGACATCAGCTGCACAGTTTGATATAGATTTTGGATTCCTATTTCTAGAAGCACCCCAGATGAGCTGGCTTTGGGGGGTTAACTGGGATGGAAAGTAACTTATAGGCGATAATAAAGCCAATACCAGTTCATTGTCAGTGAGCGGTATAAACAATATTTGAATTAAAGTATGACTTTTAATTCTGAATTCTTTTTGTCCCCCATTCTACTTAGAGTTAGTAAGAGAAATCAGAGTACTCCCTTGTTTGGTAAATGATGTCCCCCTCATGAGAGACTTCTGTCATCCCATATAAAAATCTGAACGTGCCAATTGTGCTTTCCCCACAGAGGGCGGTGGTCCTGTTCCTACCTGCCTGTTACCCAGGTCTCCGTCCAAGGCGGGAGCACCAGTGCATGAGTCAGCGGACCTGGCCCATCTCTTGATTGGAAATCTAAGCCATTTCAGCTCCACTGCTGCAGAGCTGAGATATAGTTCCTTCTTCGTAAAAACCATGGTTTTCCATACCAACTTTTGTCACGGATCACTTCAGTGAAATTGTTGCTCTCTTTACCGTCTCCTCTTCTCGGTTTGAATATGGGTTCTTGCCAAAGCTGCCACAAACAGAAGTGAGATCCACAATAGAACGGACATAGGGCCTGTAAGGTCTCACAAAGCTTTCCTGGGCCTCAGCTTCCTTTATGAGCATTTTCTCTTTCTTAGAAGCACTCACCCAGCTTACCAAGGCTGATGCTGTCCTCTCTCTTAGCATCTTTGGTAGATACTCTGAGTGTTTCAGGGCTGCTAGGACTCCCAGAGGAATGAAGAGTTCAGTGCATCAGTGAACTCCAGCCTTTTGTATTAGAGAAGCTGTAATTTAGAGCTGCCTTTTAGCTTAGAAAAGGTCAAATCCACCTTTCCACCCTTTTTATTTGCTAACTCAAGACCTAGGTATGTGTCACTCATGGTTTCCATTTGGCTTCAGAGGACTTGACTTGGAGAACAGTGCACATAAACTCTATGCTAAAACTTCAGAAGGAAGTTTAAATCCTTTTTAAATTTTCTTTAAAAATTTTTTTATTTATTCTTGGAGAGAGAAAGTGAGGGAGAGAAACATTGATATGCAGGAGATACATTGGTTGTCTCTTGTCTGCCCCCAACTGGGGACCTGGCCCGCAACCCAGGCATGTGCCCTGACTAGGAATTGAACCAGTGACCTTGTCGTTAGCAGGCTGGCACTCAGTCCACTGAGCCACACCAGGCAGTGCTAAATCAACACTTTGAACCAAAGAGCAGAGCATTTCTTACTAGAAATGTGCTTTGGCTCTGAGAGCCATGGATCTGTCGCATTCACCTTGTGTGGGGACCTTGTAGGAATAGCTTAGGAGTGAATTGGCTCTTGGTGCCTTCTAAATTTTCTTTGGTCTGTAATTTGCCAGATTCAACTTGACAGTGAAGTATTTTGTGTAGAAATTTGTATGTCTTAAAAGTTAGTTTTCACTTTGTATTTATCTAGAACCTGGCGACAAAAATGAACTTCCAAGTGACTTGGTTAGAAACTTCATCTTCTGCGTGCTTTGACTGCATGCCACCAGACTGCCAGGCCCAGCTGTAGGGTGGCGATCTGAAAGCAGGTGTCTCTGGCCTTTCTTAGGTAGTATCACCTAATGGTGTGAATAAAACCAGCCAGGAGGACTTTACTTACCAGTTCCTTCTCATTTCCATCATTTAAATGGTTCCCCCAAAGCATGGTCTTCTCTGTTTGTCAGCATCGATTTAATATCATTTTGTTCTCTTTAGAGTTGAGATTTCTTGATTATTTTTCCCTTGGGTTGTTTTATTTCTCTGCTTTCATTTCTGTTACTTCCTCTCTTTACCCCTGGGATCAGGTAGGAAGCAGGGAGAACGACAGGCCTTTTCCTTTTCACCTCAGTATTTGCACTTAAGAAAGCATTTTCTTTAAATGTATGCAGTGTGAATACAACAGTTTCTAGTGATGGGAGATAGTGTTTTAAGACTATATTCAGGTTCATTGTTTCTTTTAAAATATTCTACTTATTAATCTACTTGGTTTTGTATTTCTCCTTCGTCCACATTGCTTTCTCAGAAAAGACAACTAAAATTTAACCAAAGTTTAACATAGTGGTCCTAAGTGGAAAAACACAAGATTCACAGGATGCCACTTGACCTTTCTTTGAGGGCTGGTCCAGTTTTTGTCAGACTTTGTAACTTGAATCTAGTCTTGAGTAAAATAAATCTATGACCTCCAAGTCTCTCCCAAATTACTCTTGCTCTGATGAATCTTCAAGAACTATCCTGTGGCTCTGACTGATATGGCCCAGTGGGTTGGGCATTGTCCCGAAAACCAAAAGGTCACTGGTTCAATTCCTGGTCTGGGCATATACCTGGGTTGCAGGTCAGGTCCCCATTTAGAGGCATGGAGAGGCAACTGACTGATGTTTCTCTCCCTCTCTTTCTCCTTCTCTTCCCCTCTCTCTAAAAATAAATAAAGTCTTTAAAAAAAAAACAAAAACAGAACTGTCCTTGTGAGGATTTAATCTGCAGCGGGCATGGCTTTACTCCTAGCGTTTGTCTGGGAATTGGGGAACTTTTCTTACCTCTGGGGTGAGCATGGCTTGCCACCGCTCTTGCGGCCTCTTCCAGTGTTAATTTTGTGGGAGTTTTAGCTCATGTTCCTTCGGACCAGTTAGATTCCTCAGCCTGAGCCACATACTAGGAAATATAAATTTACTTATCTATAATCTGGCATCACCACCATGGTGGAAGATTTTGATCCCAGTGTGCGTGGCTGATTTCCCTGGATGTAGCACATAATCAGGCTTTATTCATTTGTTCAAGAGATTGTAGGCCTTTACCTGCTTCTCAAAATTCATTAAATATCTGACTTCTTCTCAGGTAGTTGACCCTTCTGTATACTGGGTCCAGCTGTCTTTCCTTAATCTATAGTAATTATATTCACTGCTCTGCTCAGACATCCCTGTGCTAGTTAATGTTAGCCTTTTTCAAGAGTTCTTGCTGTCCAATTTGCCCCCACGTGGCTTCTGTTGCACACTCTGTTGTGTAGGAGTCATTTGAAGGAGCATTCTGCTCTGTTTGGGATAATCCATTTTCAGTCTCTTGCTTGTTCTGTCTGGTATGTGATGTTATGAGCCAGTAGAAGAAGCAAGACAGCTGGTCTTCACCGACAGAGGAGTGCCATTCTCCGTTCCTGAACACTATCCTGTCAGGAATTCTACTGGCAGCTTCTCGCCCTCATTGACCGGCTGGTGTTGGTGGTAGCAGGGAGCACTTTCACTTGGTTGCATTTACTGGTGCGTGGCAGCGGCCGCTGACAAGACTTGAGTTTAAGAAATGCATTGATGGTGTTGACTCCATAAACTGGCATTGATGGCTGCACACATGGTTGTTTACAGCCATCAACCCCAATGGAAGGAAGACGTGTCTTGGCTGAGGGCTGTGTATAGTCCAGTGGCCATTTATATTTACTGTTGCTGGGTAATCAAGTGTTAGCCTGGACCTGCAAACATTAAGCCACATCACCTTTTTTCTTCCGGTACTTTCCTCTAATTTTCTCCTAACAATCTGGATGAGAATCTTGGAGAGTAAACTTGATAGATGGCCATAGTTAATGTTACTTAGTGCTTATTCATGATTAATTAAGATTTGTTACTCTGAGCTCCTCTGAAGTATAAGTAGCTGAGTATAATTTCCAGCCCTAAGTTTCAACTTTAAACTTCTTGAAAGCTGAATGATCTTTCTCCAAGGAGTTGAGCTAAGTCTTAGATCTCCAAATACACATTTTAATTATTTTTTAACCTTTCCGGACTCATGTTTACAGACTTCTTTAGCAGTGACGTCTGGTTTTCGAAGAAGAGCTATTAAGGCAGCAGACTGCAACTGTTCAGGTCCATGCCCAGGAAAGGAATAGTTCTGTGTATGATCGGTATGTTAGTTGAGCATCTCTGGTTGCAGGATACAGGAGAACTTCAAGAAATCTAATGGCTGCAATGTTTTGAGCTTTTGGAAGCCAGTGAAACCAGGATGTAGATCCAGAAAGCCCCAGATCCCAGGAAGTGCTCTGTCTTCCTCTCTCTTCTCTCCATGTGTCTATTTCCTTATTCCATCTCTTAGCATACTAACTGCCTTTACTTCTCAGATGTACCCTGCTATAATGACAGAATATGACTACCACTTAGCTCCCAGATTTATATATTACCATTCCTACCACATGAAAAGACTACTGGACTGTCTCTTGTCCTGGAGGAAAGGATCTGAATTTAAGTCAGACATCTGCTCTGTCATCTGTAAGCTAGTAAGAGAAGTTTACTTCCTACAACAAGGTTGCTGGGCGTCCACCCTTATGTAACAGGGGCTAGTTTGAGCCAGGAATTTCCTACTACATGGGCTGGGACGGAACTGTCCAGGGGGTGCTCCCGACCTGGGAAAAGCAAATTTGACTCAAGCTAAGAGTGTACATTTTTTCCAATTTACCTATTTATATGACAAAATCATTGGTTTGACTATTTTGCATTACTATACACTTGTTACCTCTATAATGGCAACTTACAACTTATTTCTCAATTTATTTAAAATAGAAAAAGAAAAGATCATCTGGTGTTCGGATGGGTGATTGTCTGAACTTTTCGGGAGAAACAGCTAGATAAACACCTCATAAAGAAGTCCAGGAAAAGAAACTTTACCACCACTCTTTACTGACCTATTTGGTTATTCTTTTTTTAAATCAGTCTTTGACTCTGGAAACCATATAATTTTAGGAGCCTAGAGTTGAATTATTGACTTGGTATAAACCTGCCCCAACCCAGCCAAATGTAATGAAGGACCTTTCTATTCCTCAGAAGCTTGTGGAAATAAGTTCCATAACACTGGAACGAGTTTTATTCCTTATGGCTGCCTTCTACTTTGTACCACCCAGACCTTCTAACTTAGTGCTGTTGTATGACACAGTTTCCCAGGGCCGTAGGAATAGAAGATTAATAGAAATTTTGACTACTTAATCTCAAACAATTATCTGTCCTATTTTAAAAGACTTCTAAAGAAGTTTCTTCAGAAAAGACTCTTCAGCTTCTCCTCCACTGCCCACTGCCATGTATCCCTGTGTTTAGCTGCACTCTGTGTATGAGAAAATGAGACTGAAAGGCTACTTTAAATTTCTTCTGAAACATGGTGGGTCACAAATGGTGGCTGAGCCAGGGCCCAAATTCCTGCTTTCTGGTCCCCTGTCCGCTGTTCTTTTTTGCACAGCCCTATGAGGAGAGAGGAATCTGGTTAGAAATACCCTGTACCCTGGAGCCCAGGCAAGCTCCTCTAATCTCTTTGGTGGCAGCTTGGACGGCCCGCTCTGTGAGAAAGTGCAGGGCAAGAAAGCACAGGGCCTGGCACGTGGTGCGTCTCTATAGTCTAACACTTGGCTTAACATCTCCTAGATCCCTTTCAGGATGTCCGTGGGGGAGAAAAGGAAGTTTCTCACTCATTCACTCTTTTGATGAAGATATATTAAGCACCTGCTTTGTGCCAGGCCCGTCACTACTGTTGGACTCAGATAGAAAATTCCATTCGACTCGACTTTGAAAATTCTAGGTAGTTGCTGGTAAAAGCAGAGTCATGTTCATATCACCCATTAGATCATCACTGTCATTAGCCCAATCACATCTCTTTGAGCAGGGAGAGCTGACAAGTGTTAAGTACCAGGTAATATAATTGATATTGTGCACTTATTATCTTAATTTAAACCTCACAACAACCCATTGAAGTTGGTAGTATAAACACTTTTATAGATGAATAAACCGAGGTTCAGACAAAACTAGTTAACGTTTGAGTCATGTATTATGTACCAAGGGCTGTGTTGTGTTTATATGAGTCATGCTTAATTCTCAAATCAGTTCTATGATATTCAACAATAATTATCCCCATTTTAATAATGAAAAGTCTGATACTCCTGGAGGTTAAATGTATTGCTCAGGTCATATAAGTAAGTGGTATGACTTGTATAAAATTAGTAATTATATACAGCCTCACACTTCAAAGCTAGGATAGAGATTTCCCTTGTATTCCCACCCAGTATTTTTGCCTTCAGAAGTAGATCGGAGATGAGATCCCTCTCAAGGCTCCCTGTCCACCCCCTGCCTGTCCCGGTGCATTGGCACCTGGGAATGCTCAGCGCTGTGCTGGCCATGTCCTGTGGGTGCTCTGGTGTCTGGGAACGCCTAGGACAGCCAGGCAGACTCAGCGTCGACTCAGGCGTCACAAACCCACAGCCAAGTTCTTCTGTGTCTCCCGTCACTGACCTTTCCCAGTACAGCTAAGAAACCTGTCTGCAGGTTCTGATTAGAACCAGTGGCTTCCATTTACACCTCAAATTCAAGAGGTTGTATATTTGTATTTCGTTTTTAATCTAGGACAGCTAAAGGTCAGTTGTAGAGAATATACGTGATGCAGAAAGGAGTATTTTTAAGTGGAAAGACAAACCATAAATACTCAACTGATAATAATTAACCTTTTCAACACATTGGCATTTCCAGAGCTCTTGGGAAAATATAATTGTACCTTCTCACTTATTTTTGGTTTTTAAACTTCCAGTAGTTCTTTTTCCAACCTGGAAGCCTCCTCAGTTCCTGCGTTTTCCATTTGTTTATCCCACTAATATTTACTGAGTACCTGCTGTGGGCTGGGAACTGTAGGTACAGCTGTGAGCAAGACTCAACGTAGTTAGTTATAACCATGATATATGGCACATGGTTATAGGAAAGTGTGAGGTGCTGTTAAAGTATTAATAATAATGGGGGAGGGAAAAGAGTTGTAAAGTCAGGAAAGGCTTTCTGGGGGAGTTGATATTTAAGCTGGGACCAGAGGATAAATAAGAGTTAGACATGGAGGGAAAGGGTCATGAAGGAAGCTTCCAGGCAGAGGGACTAGCACGTAACAGGAAGGCCCGAGGCAAGCAAGAGCTGGGCTACCCCAGGGGCTGCGGAGCAGTCAGAGACAGGAAAGCACGTCCAGGAAGAAAAGCCACAAGTTGGAGAAGGAACTTTTTTCTTCTTTTTAAAAATTAGTGGCTTAAAAATGGATACTTCTGGGAAAATTGGTAATGTTGCTGACCCATCATTATTCCCATGGCATAAAAGATGAAGGGGCCTTGTTTTAAGGGTGTTGCTATGAGGAGAAGTAGAAGCCAGTAGCTAAAAGGGGCCTGGGGGAGGCGGGGAGGGCTGCGGGGTGACTCTGATTCTGGGGGTTCTGTCTCCTCAGGCCTGAAGACCATTGTGGGTGCCCTAATTCAGTCCGTGAAGAAGCTGTCGGATGTGATGATCCTGACAGTGTTCTGCCTGAGTGTTTTCGCCTTGATCGGGCTGCAGCTGTTCATGGGGAATCTGCGAAACAAGTGTGTTGTGTGGCCCATAAACTTCAATGAGAGCTATCTTGAAAATGGCACCAGAGGCTTTGATTGGGAAGAATATATCAACAATAAAAGTAGGTGGCCCCTTCTCTGCAAGAGGAGAAAGAAAAATCTGTCTCTAGTTTACAATGTCAGAAGCTGTCACTGGGCTTTAAAAAGTAGTTGGGCCGGAAAGGAATGCCAGCGCTACTGAAAGTAGCCTTGGGGAGTTACTCCCTTTCTCCGAGGTAGGACTGTGTTCAGAAGCTCTCAAATATGAGCCCCTTCCCACCCTCTTCTCTTACTTTAAAACCCAAAATGAAATGTTATAGCTTTGTCACATGTACCCCTAAACTTTTGCTTTGAAAATCAGGCTTAGTAGTTTGATAGAAAGCCTTTTTCCCCCTAGCTGGGTTACAGGAGATATTTAAACATTCGATCCAGAGTATACCTCGCAAGTTTTCTCAATTCTGTTTTACAAGACCTCAGTAATCAGTCTGGTCTAGGGAGTCAGGTAATCTCTAAGGCACTGTTTTATCCTATTACAGTTAAGGGGTATTAATAATTTCATTTCAGGAACCAGATCACTTGGGTCTTACACTAAGGAACAGTTGGTGTAGTAGTACTTCTATAAAGTAATGGGAAAGAGTTAATATCACTGTTAGTCACTCTTGAGAAAATAAAGGCAGGTAAGTAGCCATAAGAAAATGTTGCAAAGCGGGTTTCAGGGACACAGAGTTAAGGGAAACATGCCTTCCTATTTAATATAGGACATGGTAACTAGTGATCAGTGAGGATAGCTAGTTTACCTGTGTTGAAGAGAAGTTATAAGGTAGAAGGATAAAGTTGTATAAAGGGGTAAAGAATCAGAAAACTCTCTTAGGCCTCTTTGATTCAAGTACCAGAACCTGGCATACAGATCTGAAGTACCAGTGGAAAATGTCTGTGAAAAGGACATTGCATTAAGGACTTTCTGGTAGCACTTTTAATTTTTAAATATGTAGAGCAAAATGATGGGGAATCATTTTTATCAGGATTCATGGCTGTCAGAAAAGATTTATATGAACTGAAATCAATAACTGTTTCTGCTGGGACTAGTTAGGAACCATGTAACCTTATTCTCTTCATTCACTTAAATCTGCCTTATTCATTTCCTGCCTCTTCAAACTTTTCTAGCAAATTTTTACACAGTTCCTGGCATGCTAGAACCTCTACTCTGTGGGAACAGTTCTGATGCTGGGTAAGTAGCTCCTCTAATTTTATTCTTCTCCCTTAAAATAATGTTTCAGATAAAGATGGCAATATTTTCACTTTTCCTTGTGCTACTGTAGTAGACTCTAGTTGGATCTAACATATTGGGCCTAAGGTATTTCTTTAAAAATTGACTTGGCTACTTTGTTTCTTTCCTCCTTTTCCTCTTCTCCTTTTCTCCTCTTTCTCCTCCTCCTCCTCCTCTTCCCTCTTCTTCCCATTCTCATTTGTTGGCCTGGCTCCATAGATGATTGTTCATTATTTCCAAGGTCATAGAGATGGCTTACAGCTGATGCAGTAGGATTGTGTGGAAAAGCCCTGAGCTTCTCTTTCTTTCCTTAGGCAATGCCCAGAGGGATACCAGTGTATGAAAGCAGGAAGGAACCCCAACTATGGTTACACAAGCTTTGACACTTTCAGCTGGGCCTTCTTGGCATTATTTCGCCTTATGACCCAGGACTATTGGGAAAACTTGTATCAGTTGGTAAGTAGTACCTCTTTTTCAAGTGTTACCTCTTTTTCTTTGGTGATAGAATTTGCATGAGGAAATGTGTGGTCGGGCACTTTTCTGTGTAAGAGACTTTTTGTGAAGACGTTATACAGGCCTTAGGATGGCATTTCTCTGGTTACAACATTAAGTGAATTCTTCCATCTCTCGTTCCTACTTCTCTAATGCTCAGTCATGCGTAGCTGTAGAGGTCCACAGCCTCTTGCCTGGCCTGGGAACCTGCTGTCTCTACCTGCTTTCGAATTGTTTTACCAAACCACCTGCAGTATTTCTACTTTTGGGTTTGGGGGCTTAGGGCATCATTTTAAGAACTATTAATTAAACATAGTGTGAAAGGCATTATGCTAGACATTATAAAAATTAGATTTCTATCCACAAGGACCTTGAGTCTAAATATATCAACATTTTTGTGATTTGTGACACGTTTGGACTTGTTCAAGCAGGTTGTGACCAATTTTTTTAAATGGTCAGTACCATTCCATTGGGCTGCATTGGTGACTCTGGGCGAGTCATTTAACTTTGTTTGTTGTGATGGAGCAGTTGGTGTAGGTGATCGCAGAGGGTCTTCCAGCTTAGAAATTTTATCCTAATTCATTGTTTTCTATTCAACCTTGGCATTAGATGATGCCATTTAGTTTGAGAATGAGAAACATGTCCCCTCAGGTGTGAAGAAACCTCTTTGAAGGAAGCATCTAATGAGATCCCCTAAGGAGTTCTTATTTTCTGTTGGACAGCCTAGAGTTCCCTCAGGTTTGAATCTTTCTTATGAAGTATTTATGACTAATGTAAAATTTCATTAAATACTTGTAGTTGAAAAGGCTAAAGATGAAAACTAAGTGATAGTGGGTCATATCCACATAACCTAAAACTTTTTTGATTGATATCTGTTTGCTCACTGTTAGTGAAAGAATAGTTCTAGGATACTCTACCTTTTTCTTTTTTCCCATTATCCTTTATGTCATATTTCTCTTCAAAAACATATGCTATTACAAAAGAAGAAGGAAGGTTATCACTCAAGATGGGGACTTCCTATGACTTGGACCCGATCCCAGAAATGGAATTTATCTGTTAATTCTCTTTAAGGACCAGTAAATAAATGAGCTAAAATCTTATATTCTTTTCTTATACTTGTTTTAGAACCAACTGACAAAGTCTAATAGAATTCTTAGCCCCTCTGGGCTAAGAGGAATATTCCTTCTGTAAAAGGAATATATGAGTATCTGGAAATAGAAAAGGGCTTATGTTGCCACAGTGAATGGGAGATTCACTGTGAATGGGAGATACTGACATTTCCTGTGAGTCAAGGTTACGAGAAGCCCTCAGCCTTTGGGCATGTGAAGTGCTTTGCAATGTGAAGGAGTGCCACGGGATGAGAGACTGTCCCGTTCAAAATGCAGTAGTGCCCCTGCGGGGGACGCTGGCCCGCAAGTCGTTTTCGGCCAGGTATATTTGATTCAGGTGACTCAGAAATGGTCTTTATCTCTGCAGACCTTACGAGCAGCTGGGAAAACGTACATGATCTTCTTCGTCTTAGTCATCTTTGTGGGTTCCTTCTATCTGGTGAACTTGATCTTGGCTGTGGTGGCCATGGCTTATGAAGAACAGAATCAGGCAACACTGGAAGAGGCAGAGCAAAAAGAGGCTGAATTCAAAGCAATGTTGGAACAACTTAAGAAGCAACAGGAAGAGGCACAGGTAGGTGATTAGTTCTTGGCAGTGGTCCTGCCTGCCAGATCACTGTGAGCAAGCGCCCAAATAATTGCCACTCCAGTTGCTCTCTTCTAGGCATATTGTCAAATAGAAGTTATAGATCTGATCAAAATACCTAATTAATAGCTGCACATGGTCGGTTCAATTATTCCGTTTGTCTTAATGGCCACATTATTTGTAATATGTTCTTTGGCTGAATTTCTCAACTGTTCTGTGTTCAACTGCCATGATGGCTGGGGAGAAGAAAGAGTGGCCGGAGCGGTGTATACTGAGCTTCATGTAAGTGTAACCTTTGTGTTGAAGAAAACATTAGGGTCTCCTTCAGAGGTTCTTGGTGGTCTTAAAAAAGTATCGATTATAATTAAAAATAAGTTATAGGTAAAATACTAAAGTAAAGTTTGAGAAATTTATAATCTACCGCCCTAATACTTTACTTTCTAATCCTTGTCTAAAATATACATGTATTTTCACATTGTCAGGCCCACATGTATAATATAGTTTCATTTCCTGTAATATATGTCCTAAGTAGTTTTTTTTTTAATTTTTTATTTTAATTGTTGTTGTCCTAAATAGTTCTTAGCATTCATTTTTAGAGTTGTCCAGAAAAGTTAGTGTGGTTCCGAGAAGGCAGCCAGGTTCTTATCTGCGATACTCAAGAGAATAAACCCCAAAGTTCTCACCACTGGGTTCTGCTCTGATTACTTAGTGCTGTGTGCTACAGTACAGATTCGGCTCGCAAATGGAGATGGCCAGGCCCTGGCCACAGTCTCCTGACTGGCTGGTTTTCCTTCTTCCTTCATTCCCTCCCTTCTCTGTCTGAGGGAAAGGAACTGATCGGCACTAATTGCTTGATTTCTGGTGACTTGGGGCAATTGCTTCTGATCTGGTCTGTTGCTCTGTGGCCCCTCTCCTAGGCTGCCGCGATGGCCACTTCAGCAGGAACCGTCTCAGAAGATGCCATAGAGGAAGAAGGCGAAGAAGGGGGAGGTTCCCCTCGGAGCTCATCTGAAATTTCTAAACTCAGTTCCAAGAGTGCTAAGGAAAGACGTAACAGGAGAAAGAAGAGGAAGCAGAAGGAACTCTCTGAAGGAGAGGAGAAAGGGGATCCTGAGAAGGTGTTTAAGTCCGAGTCAGAAGATGGTATGAGGAGGAAAGGCTTTCGGCTGCCAGACAACAGAATAGGGAGGAAATTTTCCATCATGAATCAGGTAAACTCCTTGCCCTGGGCCAAATAGCCCAAGAAATTCTGGTTTGCCTAATCTCACTCGATTCTCTCATTCCCCTTTGGCTTTCCATTTTCCAGACCCATCCCTGCATCCTCAGACCTGCCTTTCCATGTTCCATATTGTTCTCCTCTAGGAAGAACTAAGTATTCCCAGCGTATCAGGACCATCCTCTGCTCTAAAGCCAGCCCTAGGTAGATGTGATGACCTGTGGCAGACTTGCTTCAGCAGTAAAGTCCGTCTCACCAGCAAGCCTATGTTCTAAAACATTAGCAAGAACTTTTCTCCTCTTAGCATCTGAACATCAGAACTTAGCACAAACAACTGTAGATTTTTAAAAAATAGATAAAACTCTTTAGGTCACTTTATTTGAGCGTGGCAAGTTCTAATAATTATTCTAGATATATAGTGTCATGCTGATAAATTTACCCAACTTTGATAAATGGAGAAACTAAGAGAAAAAGAGTGGGAGGACTTACGGATAATTGTTGAGAATTCTATTGCTATAAATATCATCACATAAAAGGTATTTTTGGATTTCAAAGAACACCACCAAAATCTAATTCTTAGGCTATGTAATTCCCCATTTTAAAGAAACACTGAAAAATTTGTGAGATATAGACTAGATCACAGTTATTGGTTATGGCGTTCTATCCATTGTATTCTCTCGTTTCCCAGGGATGATTCATGTCTCTCTTTTTTGTACCTCTTGCTTCCTCATTCCTTCTTTTGCTAGTCCTATTCATTTTATCATAGCAAAATCTCTTGTGTCCATCCCCTTCTTTCTATTCTTGTTAATCTTCCCTTTGTTCAGATTTTTGTATTATTTTGTTCTTCTGCTGTTACCCACTTTAGTGCATTTCCTCTGGTCCTTCTCCCTCTCCTCTGTGTTTTATAAACTATCAGCAGATTGCTTCCTATCATCATTCATCACCAAGTAGTTATGGAGTGCCTACCATAGGTGAAGAATTGCTAGGTCCTAAAGATTAAAAGATGATTAAAATGCCGTCACTGTCCTAGAGAGCTTATGGTGTAGTAGCATGGCCAGATACATTTAAAAGTTACTTATATAATAGTATCGACAGCATTATTTCATAGTTGAGATATACTGGGTTGTTTTGGAGGGCACAGATCTATGCCAACCTGTAGGTTCAGCCAAGATTTTCTGGGGAAGATAAAGGATAAATTGCAATTAGTTGAATAGTGTGTGTGTGTGTGTGTGTGTGTGTGTGTGTGTGTGTGTGTGTGTGTGTTGGTGAGGGAGCAGTTAGACTGAAGAAAGAGCATTTGAAGAAAAGCATATTCCGGTTTAGGTATACCAAGTTGAATTATTTGTTGAATAACCAAGTAGAGAGGTCTTTTTGACACAGGTATAGAGAATTGATAAGCTCATAGAAGAGGTCCTGAACTAAGAGGTGATTATTGAAATCATGAAACTTGATGAGATTACTCAAAGTTATTGTGTCCAGTGAAGGAACAGTGTGCCAAGGACACAGCCACTGGTGTTCGTGGGCACGGAGATGGAACTCATGAAGGAAAGTAAATGAGTAGTCATTCAAGGGACTAAGAGCCAAGAGTTCAGTGAAGCTGGGAGAACACAAGGGCTGGAGAAGGCTGGGGGGTGATTAATAGACTGGAATTTAACAGAGATGCTTTGTGAGATCAGAATTGGAAATATTTGTTGATTTTGACAATCTACGTCATTGGGACCTTTAAAGACACGTTTCTTTCTGTACTGGGTAAGGATGGATGCCATATTGGTTGGGAAGTGGGACCAATGAGTGTAGACTTCTCACTCAAGCTTATTTAAATAATATGGATGAAAATAAGCATTTTTATGAACTGGGGGCAGGGAGGAATCCAGAAGAAGGTGAGGTGGAGGTAGAATATGCGGTAGAATAGAAAATAGAGCACAGTCTTGGAAGATGTAGTCTCTAACAGGAAAGGGGCATCTTGTCCCCCAAAACACTGAGAAAACAGGGAAGGATGGGCACAGATATGTTTATAGATAGAGAGTAGGAAGTTGAAGAAGATGATACCTGACCATCTCTAGTTTTTAATAATGTTGGAAATTTGAAATCTTATTAAAGGAAATGAGAGGTTGAGTAGGGATTTTAAAGAAAATGTTGACAGTTTAGGATAGTTTTTAAGAAAAATGGGAGGGAGAATGCCCCTAATCAGATTTGCTCTATTTGCTAATGAAGTCCCAACCCTTTAGCATGAAATTTACAGCACTTCCCCTGGACACAGCCTGCCTTTTCAGTCTCTGGTCACTGTGTGCCCTTGAGCACCCTGTTCTTAAACTGAATGCCCTCCTAGAGGCTTCTAATATATGATGTTTTCTGTCCTCTGTTTTGCTCCAGAAACACTCTAAGACATCCTATTTTCCCGTTGCCAAATGTCTACATCATACTTATTCTTCACATTCTTCTCTCAAGAAACCTTCCCTGACCTCCCCCATTCCACACCCAATTGAAAATCGTTTAATCTTTTCATTATATTTTATACATACCTCTTTACTGTCTGGGGTATTATTTTTTATGTTCATATCCTCTTCTGAAAGTCCCAAAGTCAAGGTCTGTTTCTTTGCACATTGCTGGCATTCAGATATTTGTTGGACAAATAAATAAGGACTTTTATAAAACTGATTTGACTGGTCTGGGACTTCTTCATGGCCTGGAGCCATCTGTCTCACCTGTCTTCACCTCACCTTTCTCCTACTTCAGCCTCTTTTGGGGAAAAGTATGAATGCAGCCTTACTGTAATCCACCCCTTGTCTTTGGAACTGTCACTGCCCTGGTTAATGAATACCTTAGCGCAGTTAACACATTGCTACTGAATGCTCTCTGATCATCTAAACACTTTAGCCCAGAGTTGCACTGATTGCTCCATGGCTCAGAACTTAAATCTGGGCTTCTGAGATGTCCTGCTTTGCATGAAAATATTCACTTCCTCTTATTTCCCCATTTGAAACAAATTGTATCAGTAGGTTTCTAGATGGTATTTTAGAGGCCATGGCTGACTGCCAGGACTTGATTAGAAATCCTACCCACAGTAATAGTCTTTGTTCCAGGACTCTCCTGCAGTGTCTCTGATTTTATCTCCAGGGAAGATTGAGGAAACTGAGGCCTGGAGAGATTAATTAACTTGTCTAACGTTGTGTTGCTAGTAAATGTGAGTCAGGATGTGAACCAGGTTCTTCCGACTGCCAAGCCTGTGCCCCTGGTCACTACAGCCTGTAGCCATCCCCTCCTCACTCTCCTCCGCACGTGCGGGGTCGTGTCTCCTGGGGGCGCACCAGTGAATGTGGCTTCAGTTGCCCCACAGCACAGTTCAAGTGTATGTCAGTGTCCTTTACTGCCAGGTGTTCTGACATCCTCTGAGACATCTGCCTGGCCTATCTCCTACCCATTCCCCTATAAAATTACTGTTGTGTTTTTAGGGCTTAGGACACTTTATAAATATTAGGTCGAGCCCACTTTTGCAAAGTATTTTAATTACTGTTTTGCAGCATTTCTCTCCTTCTTGGTATTAGGACCCCTTTGTGTTTTTAAAAATTTTTGAGAACCCTAGAGAGCTTTTTAAAATGTGCTTTCATCATATTAGAAGTTAAATTAAGAAATTTAAAACTACTGATTTAAAATATGATAAACTGATTATATGTTTCATACAAATTACACATATTTTTGTAAAAATTAACTTGTTTAGAACAAAAAAATAGTGGAAAAAAGTAGTACCACTTACAGTTTTGCAAATCTCTTTGATCTCTGGTTTAAACTGGAATATCATACATGCTTCTGTATTCACTCTGTTGCGATACTTTTTGTTGTTGTTGAAGTATTGGAAGAAAATCTGGTTTTCTACTGGTGTAGTTAGGAAAGGAGGAATATTTTAATAACCTTTTAAGATAATTGTGAATATTCATCTTTGCTCCTGTTCCTGGACTGGGCAGTGGCAGTTCGAGGGTTAGTTACAACATAGAATCTGAAACTGTTTCTGTGTCAGTAACTTACTACTCTGTTACATTAAAGTCTCTGGTGGTGTTTTTCACCATGGATCGCTAACTCATTAATCATTTGTAGCATCATGCATTGATTACATTGGAACTACTGGCTCACTAAGTGGTACAGCTCTCCCAAGCACTGACACACAATATTCAAAAATCGCATATATTATTATCACCACCAATCTCATCAGAAAAGAATATTAAATGTTGCAAAACCTGTAAGGCTCACAGTGGCCACTGTATGCTCATGAGAAAATGAGAGTGATAAAGGCAAATGTGTTAATATTATTATGAAACAGTTTTGACTTTGTGAGCCCCTCCCCTAACAGGGTCACAGGGACCCCGGGAGTCCCAAGACTACACTTAAAGAACCACTGCTATAGTGGAAAGAAAAAGTGAAATATGGCATGGAAATAGAACATTTAAATCTCCAATTTATCACAGTTTAAATATCTCAGTCATTATTAAGCCTCATGCCAACAGACAGCTCATGCAGATGCCCTGAGATCCTGAGTTACATTTTCTGTGAAATGTGAGGCTGTTAAGAGCACCCAAGAGCCATCTCTCAAACAAACACCTAGACTTAAGGTGGTATTTTTAGTTAGCTGTTATGTGACAGCCTGTAAAGGACCAGAAGCTCCTGGTTGGTTGACAAGAAAGATTTTGGAAATGGAGAATAAGGCCTACCTATTTCATAGACCATCTGGATCCCAGGGTGATAAAGCCCTGGGTTCTGAGTCATCTGACCCCTCCAGTCCAGGGAAGTTGAGGGTGGGGAGGGGGCTGGGGTGGGCAGCTAAGGACATATGGCCTCAGGAAATGGACTAGATATTGTATACAGGGTACAAGGAGCAGCAGAGCAAGTCTTCATTTTTCCTTCCTGCGTGTATTGCACTCAACTCTGTTGCCAATAATGGGGTAAGGAATTGAAGAATAATAGATAAAGTGTTTCCTTTCAGTGTGTGCTATCTCAGGGTCC